TTGTCCCACGCGTGGGAGGGTACCTAATGGGCCCATGCCATGGGGGGGGGTGCATATGAATACCCCATATCCTATTAGGCTCTATGGGTTGCCGCCATTCTTAACAGTGCCTGTGTTACTGCTTCTATAGCTTTGCAATAAAAGTATAACCGTTCCTGAATGTGTGTACTTCATTGTTAGCTGTGGGTTCTGACATTTTGATCCATCTGGACACACATTCCTCTAGGGCTATTAGGGGGAAAAGCAAACAAACAGATACACTGGTATTTATCCTGGAAGGCAGACTTTTCATAGCAACAGCAACAAGCAGAGCTGTCTATTAATTTGTCCAGTTCTCAAGAAACTGAACAAGCTGTGGTAACACACAGTAAATTATCTGGAACTTGCGGGTTTTCAAATCAAAGGCGAAACGACTTTCTCACTAACATTCCCCCTCTGTACACGGATTACTGCTGACCTCTAGTGTAAAATTCAATGCATTACAGGTGATCAAATGTAAGCCCTTCTCACCTGGGCATTTATTAAGCCTGCAAACACCACAACAGAGCATCCAGAGGCCAAGTTAGACACAACAAGGGTAGACAGCAAATACCTCCCAGTCAGCGGCTGTTGTTGTTGTTTTAGAAAAAAGGGGTGGGGGGTGGCGGCATGCATCCATAAGAACATCAGAAGAGCGCTGCTGGATCAGACCAGTGGTCCATCTAGTCCAGCATCCTGTCTCACACAGGGGCCAACCAGTTCCTCTGGAGGGCCAAGAACAGGGCACAGAGGCCGAGGCCTTCATAAGAACATTAGAAGAGCCCTGCTGGATCAGACCAGTGAGGGTCCATCTAGTCCAGCATCCCGTCTCACACAGTGGCCAACCAGTTCCTCTGGAGGGCCAACATCAGGGCACAGAAGCCGAGGCCTTCATAAGAACATCAGAAGAGCCCTGCTGGATCAGCCCAGTGAGAGTCCATCTAGTCCAGCATCCTGCCTCACACAGTGGCCAACCAGTTCCTCTGGACAGCCAAGAAGAGGGCATAGAGGCTGAGGCCTTCATAAGAACATCAGAAGAGCCCTGCTGAATCAGACCAGTGAGTGTCCATCTAGTCCAGCATCCTGTCTCACACAGTGGCCAACCAGTTCCTCTGGAGGGCCAACAATAGGGCACAGAGGCTGAGGTGTTCATAAGAACATTAGAAGAGCCCTGCTGGATCAGCCCAGTGA